CCAATTCTATAGCTTGCAACCAAAAGAACATTACCTAGAAAGTATTAGCATCTTCATTTTACAGATAAGGAAACTGAGGCTTAGAAGAATTAAGAGAGCAATTGGTTGTAGGTCACCTAGCTAGTAAGTGGCAGAACTAACACACAAACCAGGTCTATTTGACTCTAACATTCATGCCATTAACCACTAGGCCACCCCAATTGTAAGTGCTGTACTGTAGGTTATTTTTCTTGTCAAAGGAATGGACTTGTGCTGAATCCTCCTTTCTTGCTTGCTAAATAAATGATGGCATACATTCAGAAAAAGTCATCTAGGGGAGAGGATAGAATCTGCAGTGGCATCATCAAACTGAAGCTTGATGGTCCACAAACAAATCAAATCCATAGTCTTGGCTATTGGTGCTTGGCTCCCACCAACTGAACTAAACAGTCTGGCCACATGGACAAGGAGAAGATGCCATGCTTGTTCCATGTCAACTGATCATATCATCTTAAGAAAGACAAGCTAGAATGTTTCTACAATACAATAGGGCTTCACAGGAGGGCAGGTGGTCTTCCAGCACACAAGCATTTCAACCAAAGTGACTGGCATTAAGCAGCTAAAACAGGCCTTTGCTTTTTAGGTCATGGAGACAGACGTCTCCCACAACACTATGAATAAAAAACCAAAATAGCTAGAGCTGAACAATTGGGATGGGAAGATAGATCTACATCTTCTTAGAATAGTATCAGATCGTCCCGAAACATTCTAAATACAACATCCAGCTGACTGTTAAATGTCAAGATTTAGAGTTGCTATCTTCACAGGCAATAGAAGCACTCTCATGAGGGTGCAAGCAAGAGTCATCCATTTTCACTATAAGAGAAAGATATTTTTGCAAGTTAACCTTAACCTCATATATTCATGTATTTCCTAGGTCTCTTGCCTTATTTCCTTGTATCTGGAGGACAGCTTTGAGCTGGAGTTGCCCTATACACTGATCTGCTTGCTCACTTTGCTTGAGTTCTTGGGCTGTTTTGATCTAGTGTCTGACCTGGGCCATCCCCAAATCTGCTTTTTTTCTGAATACCAATTTTAACATTCCACCTATGCTTTCTCTGTTTTATATAAACAAATGCCTCTCTAACCCAACCATTCCTATTGTGGGGCCAGTGATACCAAGGGACTGACGCTGCAACCAAGTCCAAGTAGAGGACACAGTTTGGGCTGAATGGGACACAATGCCTTAGAAATTGTCTTAATCTTATCACATTTAGTACAAATGATCATTTCTAGGCTTAGGGTTAATGTTTAGAGAAAATGGTAAACTGAGTGCCCAGGTTGATGGGGTCATGGTGGGTGGGGCAGCATTCCTGGATCCCAAGGGGATCATGGTCCTTACATAAAGAATGTTAACAAATATTTTTCCTTCACCACTCTTCAGAAGTGCCTATAGGGTCAGAGGTAGAGATAGGCCATCATTTTGTTAGAAATAGGAGACATGAAGATCCAAGAAACCTCGAATCCCCTTTACCCAACCAGTACTCCCCTACACAGGCATGGTCTCTCCCATCTGTTTGCCCTACTGCTCCCCTATAAACATACAGCATAACATCTGCCACATGTTAGCACATTTCCCTTTGTTTACCTGGAAGGACTATACACCCCTTCATCAAAATCAGGAGCTATGTCAGTGGTTTTGCATTTCCAGAATCTGATACAGTGCCTATAACATACTAGGGTTTCAATAAATGTCTGCATCATGTATAAAAATGAATAAAGGACACTCAAAGCATCTCCACTGAGAAATCAGTTTCAATAAAGAAAAACAATGTCATTGGGTAACTCTATTTTCTCTGCTAGCAAGTAGAGAGTCCTATCATTTTTACACTCCACTGATTCATTCTGAACATGGTGTCAGGAACAATACAGGGCCAAAAAACAATTAGCAGGGGAACAAAACAATCAGTTGCACCATCTGGGATTTGAGCGATGTATAGATCAAATGTCTTAAATTTGCTATGCCTCTTCTCAGTTGGCCAGAATGGATGACTTGGCTGCACTGTACCAGGAATAACTGTCCCTCATATATCCCCAATCAGCTGCCTCTTAATGACTAGTCAGAAGTGACAACATAAAAGGTGCAGTGACTTTCACTGTTCTTGGCAAATCTTGGACCAACTCCCACGGATATGCCCTTGGAGTAGGTGAGCTCAGAGACACCGTGCACAGCTGGCTACAGTCACTGCTGCCTGTCTTCAGCAGTCCCAAGGCCCTTGAGTTAGGAAGAGACCCAAGGGGAAGGAGTGAGAGGTCTGAAGTGATCTCTGGTTCTTATACTACTTCATAGGTAGTGGGATATATATAGTTCTCAGAGTCTATACTTACAGTGTGGCTTACACCAAAACTGCCTCACTCATCTCAGAGGTCAAATGCCCTTTCTATTACCTCAAACCAGGACCAGGGTAGTCCACCCTACAACAATGTTTGGAAAAAGTCTAGGAGCTTGACAGACTGACCAGCCCCATGTGGCCCACTTGTGTTCCAGATGGCTGCTTCCTCATCTTAGCTTCTATCTTCTGCTTGTCACAGTTTCAAAAATTCAGTGACTCTGAATTTACATTCCAAGAGCTCCAAGAAAGTTCTCTCTTCCTCCTTCACCCCAATGTGCTGTGTCCTGTTTTTGATCCAGCTGTAAAAAAAAAGATCTACAGTTCTCCTGAAACACTGCTTAACTAATTACACAGTGGACCTCACAAAAGCCAGTCCTTGAAAACATCTTTGCCTAGTCATCCAGCCCCTTTTCCAGGCTTGTTCCAAGATTCATCCTCATCAGGTGTTATGCTGAGTGAAATAAGTCAATCAGAGAAAGACATGTATCATATGACCTCACTGATATGAGGAATTCTTAACCTCAGGAAACAAACTGAGTGTTGCTGGAGTGGTGGGGGGTGGGAGGGATGGGGTGGCTGGGTGACAGACATTGGGGAGGGTATGTGCTATGGTGAGCGCTGTGAATTGTGCAAGACTGTTGAATCACAGATCTGTACCTCTGAAACAAATAATGCAATATATGTTAAGAAAAAAAAGAGAAGAAGAAGATAGCAGGAGGGGAAAAATGAAGGGGGGGAAATCGGAGGGGGAGACCAACCATGAGAGACAATGGACTCTGAGAAACAAACTGAGGGTTCTAGAGGGGAGGGGGGTCAGGGGATGGGTTAGCCTGGGGATGGGTATTAAAGAGGGCACGTTCTGCGTGGAGCACTGGGTGTTATGCACAAACAATGAATCATGGAACACTACATCCAAAACTAATGATGTAATGTACAGTGATTAACATAACAATAAAAAAATTAAAAAAATAAATAAAAATAAAAATATAGCCATTAAAAAAAAAGAAAGAAAAGAAATAGTGAGAAAAAAAAAAAAAAAGATTCATCCTCATCCCCAGACTCCTGATACTGGAAAATTCTGGCCACTGGTGGTCTTTAGGGATGAGACCTTGCAGGTCCCTCCTCAAGAAAGTCTTCTCTTCCTTGAATCTCTGTCCTCCCAGTCTGGTCCACCAACAGCACTCATTCTGCTACCTTGTATCATTTCATTACTGCTTCCTGTAGAGACGTCTCAACTCTTCAGATAAAGAAATGATAAACGTCTTGAGAGCAGGAACTATGTCTATTGCATATGCAGTATCTTTAAATCCCTAGAGCTACACCCTCAGCAAACACTTGATAACTATGTAAATTATCCCTTCATATAAAACAGAGGTTGACAATCTATGGACAGCCAGCTTGAAGTCTATAAGCTTGTCATATAAAAGAATAAATCAAGCTGGAATTGGACATAGCTTATAGACCAGAATCTCCTTGTCTTGAGGCTGCTTCTTTTTACCTTTATCTCTGCCCTTCACCCAAACTGTAAATTCAGTGCAGATACAAGATGCCAATGTGGTGAATGGAAAGAGGCGTCTCCCAGCATCCTGGCCTGTGTGCTCCCCTCCTCTTCAGCCACCTCTCCTGCCCTTCCCCCCACCTCACACCACACTCCAATCCTTTCCGGACTTCATTCAGTTCTCCAACTGTGCCACAGTTTCTTACCTCTGTCTGTCTTTCTTGTCTAAGACACACGCCTTCCTCCAACCTCTTTGCCAAGCTAACTCCTACTCCTGTTTCAAGTCTCAGATTGCATATTTCTTCCTGACAGCAGCTTTTATGAACCTCTACAGTATGCCGGGTCCCCCTGCAGAGGGCCTCCCAAACTTCTATTTTCCCTTTGATAATGTTTATCATAATAACTATGACTTTAACAATCACTGACATTTATTAAGTCATTGTCTGGGAACCTACTAACTCACTTCATCATCACCAATACCTTCTGAGGTAGGTACCTGATTATCCCTATTTTACAGATGAGGAAATCAAGTCTCAAAGATATTGATTATCTTGATAAAGTTCACATTACTCCATAAAAGTCAGATTTCTCACCCAGCCTGGCTCCAGAGTTCATGTTCTTAACCAATACATCATGCTGCCTCCTATAAACCTCACCACGCTTGTAATTATTTATTTAATGACTAAATATTCCACCAGGCAGCAGCTCCACGGGAACAGGACTGGGTCTACCTTGTTCACTAGTGTATTTTTTAAGCCTAATCCAAGAGCTAGCATGTAGAAAGCTCCAAAATGCATGAGTTAAATGAATAAATGAAACAGCCAGTTCGTTAGCACACCAGAAACCCAAAAGAGAAGTATCCACCCACCCTGGATAGAAGATGTCTCATACTTAATTGAAAAAGTGCCATGATCTTGGTAGTATTTCTTCCAAAGTTTCCCTTTCTGGGATCCAACCCTAGTTAACAAATTCACGCATCCAGAACCAGAAAGGGTATAATCTGGAAAGCAGTGAACGGAAGGAAACGCTTCTATAAAACAGAGAAAGCACGGGTAGGTCTATCTCGGGACACACCTGCCATACACCACGCCCACTCGGACCTTGCATGCCACCCACAAGGGCCAACTCACCCCTTTCACAGGTTCTTCCCCAGTAGCCAGTGCCCGTGCAGTCGCAGATGAAGCGGTTCCAGCCGTCCTTGCACACAGCATTGTTCTTGCAGGGGTAGCTGTCGCACTGCTTGGCGCTCATCCGCGAACAGGAGGACTTGACGCCCGCAGCGTTCTGCATCTCTGCCAGCTGCCGGATGTTCTTGCTGCGCCCGTCGATGAACAGGTCACGGATGCAGCCGACGTAGCCATAGTTGAGCATGGCGGTCCAGAGTTCAGTGGGGAGGATGAGGCCAGCACGGTTCTCCGGCAGCCCGCCCAGATACATGTCCCCCTCCAGGTCCAGGATCTCGCTCTCCCCACTGGCGGTGAATGGCGTGCGCCTGCTGTTCACTGATATGGTACCTGGGACAGAAGGATGGAAACAGAGTGAGCTACCAGCCCTCTGGGCAGGTGAGGCTGCCAGTCAAAGAACCAAATGAAAGGAGCCCAGCAGGTGGGTTCAGAAATTCGTGGTGCCTGGCCAGGTGAGAACAATGCAAGCAAGGGAGGCAAACGCTTCCAGACAGTAGAAAGGAAAATGTTAAGCCATTTGGTTCCATTCTTTGCTGCTAAGACACTCTCACTGATAGGAGGATTCAGGACCATCTCGTGAACGAACACCTAACCTGGTGTCTTTTCTCTACAGAGTCCCGGGGGGAAGGTCACCTACCTAACAGGTTGAGAGCAGCACAGCTGCTGCCTGTGTTTAAATCTCAGCTCTACCAAGTACTGGTATAGAAGTGATTTCACCTGCCAGGGCCTCAATGTCCTCATCTGTAAAAGGGGAAAATAATGGTCCCCACTTCACAGACTGGTGTGATGATTAGATACGTTCACATACTTAAGTGCTCCTCAGGGTTTGGGACAGAGTAAGGGTTCTGGAAGTGCTTGCTTGAGTCTTCATCACTCATTTGCCATGCCCAAAAGGATGGAACCCTCCATGCGCTAATACCCTCTACAATGCCATTAGCTACCAGCCTGGAGCATTGCCTTGGAGAAATTTCAACTGGAACATGTTTATTCATTTAACAGGGATGGATCGCATACCTGCTGTGTCTCTGGTATACTGGTAGGCAGAGATGAACTTGACAGGTACGTCTCTGCTCTTGTGGCACTGATATTCCCAAGCAGAGGGACAGAAATTAAACAAATGACTCAATAAGCAAAAGAAAGTAGGTATTGGTCGGGACTAGGAAGAGTAAAATGGGTGGTAGCAACCTGTGGGTTCTCCTTTAAAACGTACAGTCAGCGAAGGCCTCCCTCTCTAGGCAGGTGACAAATATGCTAGAACCACAATGTTGAAAAGGACCCAACCAGGCCAAGTCCAGGGGGAAGTATGTGCCAGCAGGGGGAATGGCACCTACAAAGGCCCTTGGGTAAGCCAGAGTGTGGCTAGAATGGGAGGGCGCAAGGGGCGAGCAGGAGACGAGATCAGAGGCAGACCAGGCCCAGCAGCAGTAGGGTCGTGGACCCATCGATGAGACTGTCAAACCTAGAGCCAGGCCTGGGAACTGGGGACTGGGATTCTAGTCCTAAACTGCCTTCTGACCCGAGGCTACTCCCCAGGCTACTTTACAGTGCATTTTCCTAAACTATAAAATCAAGGAAACTGTAAAATTAAGGTGATATCTGAACATCACACCAGAAGTTTTAAATTTATTTAGTATTCTTAAAGTGCTTTATGGGTACCAAGATACCTGGGTCTTGCCATTCATCAAGTAGCCTTCACTTCTGCCTGAGTCTCAGTCCCCTGGGCTATGAAAGGGATAGGCTGAAGGGCCAAGAAGATCAAATAAGATCAAGAGTGTGAAGTACACTATAAATTACAAAGCCAGCATTAGGGGCCTCTGGGCGGGTTATGCCAACCACACGCCTACCCCACTCTATCCTCAAGGTTTTCCCCTGGAGAAATTGGCTTTGCGTTTTCGTTTTTTTAAATTTTAGAAACCTACATAGCAATAATTATGTCTTGGTCACCATTTTAAGTACTGTATGTGCTTTTCTGGACTCGATCCTCACAAAATCTCACGAGGAAGGAGCTAACAGGTGCACTGTTTCACAATTGGGGGAAGCTGAGGTTTGCATCTCCTTTCCTTGTGCACTACTTGCTTTCTCTACCCTCCACAAGCCTACAGAACTGCTTGATCCCCAACCTGGAGGAGCAGTTATTGCCAAATAAGGACAGCAACAAAGTGGATTTAAATGTTAGAGCGATAAATACATCCTGAGGGAAATCCATCCACTGAGTGCGTGACCACAACTGTTTTGAATGCACTTAATCAAGTTCCAAGAACCAGTCCCCCAACTAGGGAGTGATCACCATACTTTGCCCATGTCATTCTTCAGGATAAGCAAAGAAGGCACCATACTCACATAGGCAGATATTTTTGTAACTCTTCATTCTGGTACAGGTTCGTAACCAAAAACATACCAGAAAATACCCTCGTGAAGAAATGAAGTTTAACAGATCATAGTAAAATTTTATGTTATGCTGCATTCATAAGACAATGATTTGTTTACTCAGTAAATTATTATAGGCTTTGATCAAATGTATCAGTATTGGCCAATGCTATAGCTACCGGATATGAAATTCCAGGCTTCTGAAATCCAGACAGGTTTGTCAAAGATGGGTCTACTGATGGTTCTAACAAATAACTGCCCCATTTGAAAAAAGCAATCAGTGCTGGGAATAAACAGAAGTAAACATATGGCAACTTCCCCTGCTCTAGGCTGCCTGTGACACAGATAGGTAACCTTTAAGCTGTGTCAGGTCTAGGCTAGCCAATCCTAACACCCATCAACCATAATGGAACTCCAGAGACCCAAAACACATGGTCTTAAAATGAATAGAAGTGTTTCCCTTATAATTTTAGGATAGCTTTCTGGCTCTGCCCCTGCTGATATTGTAGGGATAAATTTAGAAAGAGAGAGAAAAAGATTCGGCTTCCAGAGAAATGAGTTTTTTGTGCCTTTTTCTGTTATAAAAGCACGAACTGTTCATTCTTACTCAACAAGCACATTTAATTTGAAGCCTCTTGGTTCTGATTAGATTTCAGACAATCAATAAAGCATCCTGCTGGGCGCTAAACCAGCCAGGGCTGCAATCTGCCTCCCGTCTGCCCTCTACGCAGAACCCATTCAGCTCCTCCTAAAGGCAACATTGCCCATCTCTGTCATCCCTCTGGCTGTGGAATTATGCAGAAAAGCTGTCCCCAGAAAGCTCAACCATTCCTGGCTGCAGCCTTTTGAGGGAACCTATTGCTTTCTATTAGTGGCCAAGTGCGCCTACACAAAAATGTCCAAATGAAAGACTTTTTGTGTTTTTCAGGAGAGAGAATCCTTAAAAATACAGCAAACATAGCCAAGACCCTTCTTCTTGAGTATAACACCACCTAAATGGAGAATCAGGAAATCCGCGTGAAATCCAAATGCTCTAGTTGCTACTCTGGATGAAATGTCCTTCCTGATGGCACAGAATGTGACCTTCATTGCCACATGGTCCACAGAAAGCTAAGCAGACTGTTCAGGCATTCAAAAGTTCCAGACTCTCTATTTGTGTGTGTGTGTGTGTGTGTGTGTGTGTGTGTGTGGTTTCCTCCCTCTCTTTGTTACCATTCCACAGTAGCTATGTACTGCCTGGGGCTAGCTTGTTTGATCTGCGGCTGCAGAAACAAACAAAGCCATTTAAACCAAATGTAAAAGGTTATAAAGAGGAAGGGAGAGTTAGTGAGGTCTGAGCAAAGAGTGAAATATAGGCTCTCATACCAAAGGAAGGCTTTAAACTGAACATGACTTCAGGAAAAATCAATTTGCCTTTTCCTTTCTTGTCATAATTTCTCCCTGCAACATGACTCTTGCCAATTATTGAAGGGTGTAGCGTTGCATAAACTCTTGCACAGTGAAGCTTATCCTACAGACTAATCACATAATGCAGCATCTGTGATGTCACAATTGTGTTTCCATGGTGATGAGAAAAAGGAGAAGAAAAGGAGGGGGAAAAAAAAAACCATCACACCAGTGACATGACAGCCTCTTTGGTAGGAGTGGAAATGCTACTTGTAAAACCATGCGTGGCTCCAGAGCCTTGGAGCCATAACTGAGACGGCTGTGCCGTGAGTGACAAGAAAAGGAGGACCACGTGAACTGTCGACGAGACAGATACCTTGTTCAGAAACATAATCTTACAACAACCATTAAAGAGAACAGCCAAAGAGTCAAACATGCATGCAAGCGCAAACATTAAAATAAAAAAATATAAAGCTGGGAAACAGACTGAAAAGCTGCAGCTTTCCTCTCTTCTCAATCACAATTGTGCCTCTTCCTACCTGATCTGCCATCTCGCTGAATGTCCACGTGGTACCATTCCCCATCGTTGGCTTTCTTCTGAGTGGCCTTCACTTTGATGGTGCCCGAGCCCATGTCAAGCAACAAGTATAAGTTGCCATCGAGAAGTTCCACAGCAAAGAAGTCCACCTTGGTGTTCTTCTGGCTCCGAGTATCCTTCCTCTCTTGGGGCTTGCCGTGAGTGAAAAGGATCAGGCCATTGGGCTCAGTGGTGCGGAAGTCAAAGGAGATGGAACCCATGCGTTTGGTGTTCCATTTGGGCAAACTGATGTACGCCTCTGGGGTCTCAAAGTTGATGGGGTCCAGTGTGGCCACATTCTCACACTTGAATACAACTTCACCATAGATTTTCATCTTGGTGTCCCCGATCCGGGCCAGGCGAGACAGCTCCAGACGGATGTCATTATTCTTATAAACAACCTGTCAAAAGCCAAACAAGTGCCATATGAATCAATCTTGCAAACAGTTACCAGGCACTGCTCACTGGGCACCAGGGAAAAAGGCCCAAGAAGAGGCTTCAGGACACAATATGTCTGAAACAATATGAGAAAAGTGAGATACAGCATTTGAAAAAGCATTGGAAGGGACCTCTGGGGTGCACATAAGCCTTGAAAAAGCCCCCACATTTCTATTTTATTCCTTTTGTGTTGTCTCCTTCTGGCCAATTTTTTGTGTTGTCAGAAAGTTATACAATATCAGCTTGCAAATAAAAATCAAGAGAAACTGAGTTGCACAAATACTAATATTTAAATACAAAGATATTTACTGAAGTATACTTAGTAAAAGACCAGAAACAACCTAAAAGACCATCAACAACAGACTGGTACTTCCCATGATGGACAATCATGCAGTCCTTAAAAAAAAAGTAGTTTTTGACATGGTTTTGACATGGATGTTCTCCAATAAATATTGTTAAGGGAAATTAGCAAGGAACATAAAAGTGTGCACTACACTATCATTGTGTTAAGTATGTGTGTGTGTTTTTGGGGGGGGCATGTGTGTTACATGTATATATATTCATAAATGCATAAAACATCTTTGGAAGGAAACACAAGAAACTATAAAATTGTCACGGGGGAGTGGATTTGTCAGATTCATATTCAGGAATGGGAGAGAGACTGACTTTTCACAGTACCCTGTTGTATTTTGTTGTTGTTGTTGTTGTTGTTGTTTTCTACCATGCACATGTATTACTGAAAGAAAATGATTAAGTGTTAAGAGGTGGTGGGGAAGGAGATCTGTGTTTTTCACATATTGTGTGTGCCCTCCATATACACAGGATAGGAGAATAAAACACCCTAAAACACTCAAAAAAAAAAAACTGGGGTGCCTGGGTGGCTCAGTTGTTTAAGCATCTGCCTTCAGCTCAGGTCATGATCTCAGGGTCCTGGGATCAAGTCCCGCATCGGGCTCCCTGTTCAGCAGGGAGTCTGCTTCTCCCTCTCCCCACCCCCCATTCATGCTCTCTCTCTCTCTCAAATAAATAAAATCTTAAAAAAAAAACTATTATGATTTTTGAAACTTGGTGTAATCCACGTAAAAGCAGGGATTAATGATATTCCCCAAAATTAGAATTTCAAAGAGGTTTTGCTGTTTTTGACTGCAGTGCCCTGGGATGGGTCTCAGTCCTCTGATCTCTAAGTAACATCACATTTTTCCAATAAACAGGAAAAAAAATGAAAGGGAAGGGGGCTAACATTACAGTATTGATTATGGCAATCGCTTTGCTATGTGCTTTATATTATCTTATTCAAATTCTAAGTCAGAATCCGGACCTGGGCTCAAGTCCCACATCCATCCACTACCTTATGAGCTGTGTTACCTTGGCAGAGTTTTTTAACTTATCTGGATCTTTTTTCTCCTCTGAAATTGGGAACACAGGAGTAAATTATTTTGCAAGGATGAAATGAATTAATACACGTTGAGCACTTAGAACAGCACAGAGTAAGGGCATAGAAATCTCAGCTACTTCTTGGGGAGGTGATGTAGCTGTTAGTCTCATTTCAACCTTTCCATGACCCCAAAAAAGGTCATCTCCATTTTCAGAAAAATAACAAAACTTAAATACTAAAATAAATCTTACAATCCATCTCAGTGATAAAAAGGTAAATGGATGGGTCGTTCCAGTACAAATCATTTAATCCCTAACATCCAGCTATAGAGTTGTTTCCCTTCTCTTCCCCATCACCAGGACAGAGTAGAGCAGAACTGTTGGCCTTTTAATATCTAACTAATGACAAAGAATTGAAAATGCCTCACCTACCATATGACCTTGATAATGGGCCTAACCATAGTAACATTGAAAATAATAATGATACTAATATTTACTGAGCACCTACTACCAGATACCATGCTAAGGATCTAAAACCTACCATCCCATCAGATGCTGACAACACCCATTTGAGACACCTACCACCATTCCCCCCTTTCACAGATGTAGAAACAGATGTGGAGAGTAGTTAAGGAACCAGTTCACAGTCATAACACCTGGTAACTGGCAGAGCAGGCCTTGAACCCAGGGAGTTGGGCTCTCACGTCCACATGCTTTACCACTATGGCTACTCGGAGTGAGGTCCCACTAGCAGCACCTGTGAAGCTCATCTTTAACATTACATGGAAAATCATGCAAGTTCAGCTTCCTGAATTTCTCATCTCAGCACTACTGGACTGACCGTGTGAAAAGAGGAAATACTGCAAGATCTTTAGGCAATCGATCACTCCAGTGAACCAGAAAAGAAACCAAGTTTAATGACTGGCAACTCCCCCTTTCTAGCCCCACTACTGTGCTCCGGCATGGGAGATCTCTCTGTCATAAACAAACTTTGGCTTTCTCTGCATTCAGTTAAATGCCTACGACTAGAACTGCTTGTTAAGATTAATTATTAATGTATAACAATAGCTCATCCCAGGGGGGCAAACTGAGGCTTGGTTCCACTGAATAATAAATGGATAAAGAACTCAGGCATCCCTACAAGAGGCAGGAGAGAAAAAAGAAAAAGCCTTTTAAAGAGATGCAGGGTAGGGGCCCCTGGGTGGCTTAGTCAGTTATGCATCTGACTCTTGATTTCGGCTCAGGCCATGATCTTAGGATCCTGAGATCGAGCCCCAGATCAGGCTCCGTGCTCAGCAGGGAGTCTGCTTGAGATTCTCCCTCTGCCTCTACCCCTCTCGCTGCTCAATCCTTCCCTCTCTCTATCTCAAAATAAATAAATAAATAAAATATTTTTTAAAAATAAAAATAAAGGGATGCAGGGTACTGTGAAGAGGGGCTCTTCACTGAGAAAGGTACACAGCTGAGACTGGGACCAGAGGTGAATCACTACAATGCAGGTTTCTAGAGAGACACAGAGGAGAATCAGGGCCACAAGCTGGCAAAAGATAACCAGACTTCTCTCGAAATCTCTTTGAAGGTGAGCTCTCTATCTACTCCACAGCCTGGAAATTACTTGTCTATTTATCTGGAGTTTCCTCACCTTTCTTACTGAGAGCTGGGTAACTTCTCTGAGTCCCATTTCCAAAGACAGGAACCTCAGAAACCTATTCTAGGAACAGCTCCCCTTTTCCCCCAGGGCTATTATCAAGATTGAGAGGGATGTTATACATGGTAGAACACAGAAAATTCTTCACTAGTACACAAACCTAAGAAGAAATAAGAGCATACTCTTGTCTCCAGGGGCACTGGCATACTGTCAGAAACTGCCTGGGGCCTGACCTGAGGTTTTGTTGAGAACCCCCACCAAGAAGAAAGGGACAGGAGGACAGGGGTCTTGTAGCCTGGTGGTACTCAACTGGGAAGCTCCATGGCTGGCATCCTTCCCTTCCCCACCTGCCCGGTGCAGGACCATGGCCAGGACCACAGCCATGCAGTAAGGTACCAGAGCCTTGGGTAGGGCATGGAAGCAAGAGACTCTGCCAGACCCCCTGACAAGGCAAATTAGTATCTAGTACAGTGTTCTCTGTTCAGCTAATGGAAAGTCCCTGACTGATGACTGAACGAGGAAGAGATGTGGCGTCAAGTGACAGAGAGCAGCCTTGGCTGACAAGCTGTCCCAACAAGGACCAATTAAAGACAAGTGGAAGAGGCTCCCCATGAGGGAAGATGTCACAAAGACTGAGTGGCAGAGACAGAGTCACAAAGAACGATAAGCTGGTCTGACTAGCCCACACACAGGCTTGTAAAGACTGCCATTTGGACTTGTAGCTCATGCCTAGGAGGTCAGGGAGTAAGACAGTTGAGGACAGAGTTTCAGAGTTAAGACAGACTCTCAGAAAAACTGTACTTCGATGCCTCCAGAATCCGATACAAAGGCACACAGGACCGATATCAGGACTAAGGCAAGATATGAGAGTGGGAACAATATAAAAAATAGTTTCCATCTACTGAGCATCTACAATGTGCCAGATGGTAAGCAAGCGAATTAGGTAGCCCTAGCCGCATTTTACAGAAAGGAGACAGATCCTTGCCTCCAGATCACTCAGCCCATTGAGGACATAAACTGGAACTTGAACCCAGATCTCTGTGACCACACTGGGGCAGAGTCATGCTCTGGGGATGGCAGTTTCTAGGTTCCCCTGTGGCCCATGCTTACCTATAAAGCAAAAACCCCTTAGTTGAGCACAAAACGACACCCAGCTCCATCCTGATATGCGAAGCCCTTTACACCTGGTATGTCCCATCCTTCCCCACTCAGGAGTTACCTCAGAGGCCTCTGTCTGAGCTCAAGTGTGGGGGTTTCTGCATCTTTACTCACCATGTATCCCAGACTACTGTGCTTTCCTCTCCTGATGCCCCTTCACCGGGATCTACATCCAAACCCACTCCAGGCCCTCTCTGGCTACTCTGGTCCTTGCTGATCCCACCATTTCACAAACTTAGAATCCTTCTACTGCCCACGAGTGACGCAGCTGTCTTCCTATTGCCCAGACCACTTACCCTGATTGGAAAAGGAGGGACTCTTCTAATTTACATGATGTGCCTTATATATTAAACTCATTTGTGGCACTGGAGTTATATGGCAGGTCCATGAGAATAAATCTGAGGGGTAGAGACAGTCCCCACTCACAGAGGTGCTTCTTTTCCTCTCTCTTCCATCTTTTCCTAGGCCACTTTGTGCTCAGCTCCCTGAGAAAAAGTTTCCATGCATTCTGCTATAAATGCCACATCTCTCTACACTCCAGCAAGGGAACAAGAAGTCATGAGGGGATGTGGGCTTGTGCCCTCAGTGCCCAGACGGCCTCGTGGTACTATTTCTCCTGTGCAGGAATAGGAGAATACTACCGGGCTTTTTTTTTTCTTCTTCTTGTTTTTAAAGAATCTTCAACCCCCTGTGGGTCTACATAAAGGACAATTTCAATAAAAACCACCAGATCAGCTTTTAAGACTATCATTTATAGGTCCATGACTTGATGCCTGAGCACCA